GTACATTTAAGTCCTTTATCCATTTTGAGTTTATTTTTGTGTATGGTGTAAGTTGGTGGTCTAGTTTCATTTTTTTTGCATATATCCAATTTTCCCAACACCATTTATTGAAGAGACTATCTTGGCTCCATTGTATGTTCTTGCCTCCTTTGTCAAATATTAATTGAGCATATTGGTTCGGGCCATTAAACCATTTCCTTACTGCTTTCATAGCAATAATTATTTTAAAAGATATTTTGTATGGATGGAAGTGTAGAGGAGGAGTTTTCTAAGCAAGTTACAATTGCTCTTTCATGATCTTGGCATATTGGAACAAATAGAATTTGTTGATTATTGATTTTTTTAGGCTCAGGAAATGCTTTAGATGTGGTGTTTGGGGGAAATTTGAGTCTGAACTTGTGAGTGTGAATAATTATGGAGAAACCTAATTTACGTCACCATTTGATGGTTGCATATTATTTACGTCCTGCTTTGTGGTTTTATAGTTTATGTGTTCAGTAAGAGGAGAAATGGCGAACTCAGATATCAGGGCTGAAAATGGGAGTGGTGCTTGAAGTCCTTGTTAGGGTCGCCAAAGGAAGTATGCACAAGGCCGAGAGTGGTAAAGATTTATTAGGTCATGTTTTGAGACCAAATGGGCTGAGCCCCCATGACATCAGCACCCAGGGATGGGGAGTCAGGTTTTAAAGGACTGTGGGCAGGCTTTTTCGGGGAACTCTGTGGATGGGTCCAAATCCTGGGAAAGTCCAGAGGGGAAAGATCATGGTTTTAGCAAGTGGAATGTAGTCTAAGCAAAAGGGAATGTTGGTTGTGAAGTGGTCTAAAGGTCAGTTCCCAGGGGAGGCGGGTATCTATTCAATTATTTGATCAGACCTAACAATCCCATGATGAGATCTTTGTGTGGTCAGATTTTGTATTAAATCTTAATACTTACATGTTAGGTGCCTACACTTCTTTTTCTCTCTTTCACTGGTCTTTTGAAAATTGTTCTGAGGTATTTTTTTCCTGTATTTAACACCCCCCCAAAAAAATATGTTTAATCTATGAACATATGACACCCAGGAATTGTTTAAATTTCATTTATTAAATTAATAAATGAACAAAGTTGGCACCTAATGGATAAGTCTTGGCCATAGCTATTCAAACTTGGCAGAACTTGATAATTAGCAAAAATTTGTCTTGGGTTTTTGTTTGTTTCATTTTTTGTTAATCTTTACCAGAGGATATTTTTTCTGTTGATTTTTAGAGAGGAAGGGAGGAAGGAGGGGACAGAGAGAAAAACATGGATGTGGGGGAGAGACATTGGTTGCCTTCTGCCTGTGACCCCAATTGGGGCCAAGGATCAAACATGCAGCCCAGGTATGTGCCCTTGACTGAGAATCAAACCCAAGACCATTCTGTGACGCTCTAACCATTGAGCAACATGGGTCAGGGCTTGGGGTTTTTGTTGTTTTTTACCACAATACAGATGTGGCTGTTTTCTAGCAGTTGAATTTGTAAATCACCTTCTGTGGGACAAGTGTGTCCCAGTGACTGAGAGCCAGCTGTTGGGTGTTTTAACTAAACAGCTGCTCCTAGTGGGCAGCTCAAGTCCCAGTGAGAAGTATTGACTGCTCCAGGCTAGAGCAGGACTAGAGCATGCAGGGAGGATTTTCGCAAGGCCGTTAGGACCAGTTTAAATTGTTTGAGGTTTTTCTGCCTTGGTTTTTTCCTATAGCTGCCCAAGTTCTACTTCAGATTTTCATGAATGACTCATCTTCCTGTCATATTTTCTTAGACTGCAGTGACTTAAGACTCTTGGGGTCACTGCTATGAAGTTCATCCTACTACATCTATTGGGAGGAGAAAGCAGTAATACTCAAACTCAAGCTTGTTTCCAACTCATGCTGATTGATTCCTGAGTGATTATTTCTTCCTGAAAATGACATTTTAGTGATTCATTGTTTTCTGTGGGAGGAAGCTTATGACCTTTTTTTTCCCCCCCCTTTCCAGAGGGAGTCTGGAAAAGTAAGCAAGATATCATTTCTGTAAGAAAACTTTGGATAACAGAAGTTCTGGATAAAAGGTAAAGTGTATTTAGACTTTTTTGATGATGTTGATAATCACCTATAATCTGCAGAAGTAAACGGAGAGGGAAGAAGAGAAGGAGAAAAGCTAGGTGTACTTAGTGTCAGGGGTAGCATTAGGAATTTCATATGCATTATCCTTTTTAGATGGTTTTTACCGGGATTCTAGACATAGTTCTAAGAATCTCAAAATAAAACTATCCTTCAAAATGCTGTTTTAAATGGATTTGCTTATTGGTTGGATGTAATGTCCTCACAATTCACTCTGCACACATTTTCACCAGAAACATAATACAGGATCCTAGCTAGGGAGTGTGTTCCTAATTTCTTTCTGTCTTATATTGGTTCTTGATCATTGCCAGTTATTTGCAGCCATACCATCTTTTAAATTATTTTTAATACTTTGTCACCAGGTCTTATCATACCTGGACCAAATAGTTTATTTCTTACCTATATTTCATAAAGTTCTGAAAGCCTCTGTCTGAGAAATACACCTGAAATTATAGCTATAATTTTACCTTTTAAACTAGGGAAGATGAAAGCAAACCAGACTTGTAGTTTGGCGGCACAAACAAGTACTCATAGTCTGAGGTGAATTGTCCTACCTGAGGGTAGTAGAATGAGATGCTATTCATTTTAACCATCATTCTAGTGTGAGCCTTGAGGTTAGATTTCAAGTATGTAGAAAAGTAGTTCCTAGAGATTTCAGTAAAAATTTAAATTAAGATTTTAATGTTTGTTGATTTCCCATTTTTATCAGGGCAGACCAGTTCAGTCACCATGAGCTGGAGCTTCCTGACTCGCCTGCTGGAGGAGATCCACAACCACTCCACGTTTGTGGGGAAGATCTGGCTCACGGTCTTGATCGTCTTCCGGATTGTCCTTACCGCTGTAGGAGGAGAGTCCATCTATTACGACGAGCAGAGCAAATTTGTGTGCAACACAGAGCAGCCAGGCTGCGAGAATGTCTGCTATGATGCCTTTGCACCCCTCTCCCATGTACGCTTCTGGGTATTCCAGATCATCTTGGTGGCAACTCCCTCCGTGATGTACCTGGGCTACGCCATTCATAAGATTGCCAAGATGGAGCATGGCGAAGCAGACAAGAAGGCTGCTCGGAGCAAACCCTATGCCATGCGTTGGAAACAGCATCGGGCTCTGGAAGAAACAGAAGAGGACCATGAAGAGGATCCCATGATGTATCCAGAAGTCGAATTAGAAAGTGAAAAAGAAAATAAAGAGCAAAGCCAGCCTAAACCCAAGCATGATGGCCGACGGCGGATCCGGGAGGATGGTCTCATGAAAATCTATGTGCTGCAGTTGCTGGCGAGGACCGTGTTTGAGGTGGGTTTTCTGATAGGGCAGTATTTTCTGTATGGCTTCCAAGTCCACCCATCCTATGTGTGCAGTCGAATTCCTTGCCCGCATAAGATAGACTGCTTTATTTCCAGGCCCACCGAAAAGACCATCTTCCTTCTGATAATGTACGGCGTTACAGGCCTCTGCCTGTTGCTGAACGTTTGGGAGATGCTCCATTTAGGCTTTGGGACAATTCGAGACTCACTCAACAGCAAAAGGAGAGAACTGGAAGACCCGGGTGTGTATAATTACCCTTTCACCTGGAATACACCGTCTGCTCCCCCTGGCTATAACATCGCCGTCAAACCAGATCAAATTCAGTACACCGAGCTGTCTAATGCGAAGATCGCCTACAAGCAGAACAGGGCCAACATCGCCCAGGAGCAACAGTACGGCAGCCACGAGGAGCACCTCCCCGCCGACCTGGAGACGCTGCAGCGGGAGATCAGGATGGCTCAGGAACGCTTGGATCTGGCAATCCAGGCCTACAATCACCAGAACAACCCCCCTGCTCCCCGGGAGAAAAAAGCCAAAGTGGGGTCTAAAGCTGGGTCCAACAAAAGCAGTACGAGTAGCAAATCAGGGAATGGGAAGACCTCCGTCTGGATTTAATCTTGGCTGGGCTTAGAACTTGTGCTCTTCATAGTTTATGGTAAGCAGCGGCTCACTGAATAATGACTTCCATTGAGTAAACACTTGGCTCTGGTTATCTTCAGGGATGCTGTTGGCTTGTGATCCGAGCTCAGGGGACTCTGAAGGCGGGGCTGGGACAGAGGAAAAGGAAGGGAAACATAGTGTTCCTGGGCACATGTTCCAGCAATAATACAGTTGTAGACTTTACATTTGTGTCTTCCAGATCTGGAAAAGAACAGATATATTTAAATCATTCTTGTTGAACAATTTTTGTATGTACAGTATTATGGAACTTTTTCTCTTTTTTAGTATGCGAACTTTTTTTTTGTACTTGTACATTGGACCACTGTAGTTATACTTTTATATTAAAGGGGGAAAATCCTAAGGTAATGCCTGTTAGACTAGTGTTATTACTTTGTTCAGCATATTTCTGTCCTGGGTTTCATGTTTTTTAATAGATGCTACACCTAATAAAAGTGCCTCTCGTGATGCAGGGATAATTTCAAATATATGAGGAGGAGGGGGTGGAGGAGTCAGTTTTCAGTCTTAGAAAGACCGTCCACAGTAGAAGGAGGTTAGAACGTGGGAAATCTTTGAATCTCATTCATGTGCCCAGAGTTGTATCTGTCTTTGAAAACCTATTTGTATTTTCAAAGGAGATAAATGATTCCCTGCAGGATTCCTCTAAATATCAAGCATTGCCAGGATATGCTTTGATGTGTGTCATTTAAGTTCTTCCAAAGGCTGGTACCCGCAGTTCTGCAGCAGTGTGGAGACTGTCAGGAGTCACTGAGATTCCTCTACCACAGCGCAAACCACGCCTGCAAAATGAGCCCTGACAGGGTGTTCAGTTGTGGACCTGTTTGATTTGCCTTAAATCTCTATCCAGAAACCTGCCTCTCTCTAGTTTAAGAAACCAGTGGTGGGTATTTTCTTTATATGTTAACATTAGAAATACAAAAATTCCCTTGTAAGCTAAGAATACTCAAAGCTCCTTGTGCTGCATATGGTGGAAGGCCTAAATCCAAATTCCTTATTTTTTATAATTTACCACGGAACTTTTATAATTTGCATACTTCTGCCAATGTCGTTTTCTGCCCGGAAGACCAGTCAGACCGGGGATTTTATCTGTAAATAGATCTAAAGAGAATTCCAGTATTTATTCCCTACAAATATGTTTGTAGGCATATTAATTTGTCAGTGACAAACATTAATGTCATGTAACACTCATATTTTGCAGTATTTTATTGCCATTTTCAAACTTGTATTATGTTGGCGAGCTTTGCTCTCCTGTCAGGTTCACGTCGTTTGTCGTACAGTTGATGAGCTTCTGAGTAAGAGCCTGTTAAAGATTTCAAGGAAGGGACTTCCGCTTCACTATGGAAATTTCATTTTGGGTATCTCTCTCTTTCCAACAGGAAGCTGTCATAAGCCACCTCTGACTTTGAAATTCTAAAAGTATTATTTTTTTTTATGTCAATTTTGAAATGAGAATCCTAAAACAGCATCTTGGTGCTGTTCTTTCTTTTCTTTTTTCTTTGTTGACCTCCATTGCATTTCTTCCACTCCTACCCCCAAACAAAAGAAACTCAGTAGAAAATTTAAGCTTATTTTCTAGCCCTGCATTTACCTTTATTTTGCTGACACACACACACACATTAATAATTTTGTCCTAGAGAAGTTCCCCTGGATCTCTAAACATCTTAAGCACCAAGTAAGTTCAGGTGAGACTGAAGGGGAAGTTTCGGAAAATTATACATGTATGTATCCTGGATAATTAATAGACGTGCAATTTCCTTCAAACTAAATGTATAATAAGGAAATTAACTACAAAAGCAGGCAAGATGGTAAATACCTAAGCCTAGCTAAGATAAGGAACTATCAATTACCTCTTAGTTACTAGAGCTTCATGCAGATGTTGTCATTGAAGGACGGAAAATGCACACACACTCACATCTGTCTCTTCAGAGCCTGAGGAACAGCAAGGCGTTGCCAGCAGAAAAGTTTGAAAGTGAGGAGAGGGAGGGAGTCCGGCGGAAATGCCAGGCCGACATTTGGCGCCAGAAGTATCCATTGTTCCTACAATTGGTGCCCCTGGTGTTTCTCTTGGTTTGTTCTGGTGAGAATGTTACCTTTTGTGTCTGGATAATTAATTCTTCACCTTCTTAAAGTATGTAGAGAAATATTCACATGTGCATACACATTTAAAAACCCATATTTAGTCTGTCACTAAAGTTTTAATTGGGACATGGGTTTCTCAGCTCTCACTTCTTTCTTAGTATATTTCTTTCAGCCTTTGAACATAAGAGTTTGCCAAAGCCATTTCCCCCTAATGACATCTGTGAACCCACATTAAGAAAATGGCCCTGTCAGTGTCTAGGTTAATCCATTGATTTGGTCTACAGTGAATCTATAAAAATATCATTCCAGCTATTGTCCTAGAACTTGCAGGTATTTGTATGAAAAGTGTGTCAGCATTTTTTTCTTGTCAGAATCATATTCCTTTGAATTGCCGTGTAAGACATGCTCTGTTGTAGGATATTTGCTTCTCTAGATAGAAGTTGAGGGTTTAGTTCTTCACCGCTGAGAATCAGGATGCAATCATGTTTATATACCTTAGCATACTGTTGGTTTTGTTTAAATGTGGTGTGTCCTTTGCTGTCTTCCTTAAAATCTGTTATCCAGAGAGATTTGTAAAAGGAACAGGCTTTTTTCTTAGTTTAAATTTGAGGGATAATTCGGTAACATTTTCTCCTAGAGAAATGTTAATGTTCATTTTGTGGTTTCGAGTTTGCTTGATGACTTAGTTTTGCCTGTTTCGATATTTCATTTAAAACCACAAGTGTCTTCTCATTCAAAGTCAGTTTTTCTGGGGATTTTCCTTGACTAATGTCTAATGTCTGTAGAATTACTTTGATAAAAATGAACTTTGTCATCTAAAATCTTCCTGGAGGTTAGGACTACTAATAGTCTTTTTAAAGGACACCTATATCTTTAAAGAGAAAAAAAAACCATCATCAAGTACCTTAATTATGTCATTTCTTCTTGGTATGAAATGAGGCAGTTCATTTTGCTTTTCCAAGTTTCAGGAACCACTTTCCTTTCAAAAGTGTTATGAAGTAGTTGGACCGAGCCTGTGGTAAAGGTATCAGAAGACCAACTATTGTTATTGGTTATTTATCTGAACTTAAAGCTTAAAAAAAAAAGATGTAAAGAACTGTGATGGTAGTAAGATGTCCATCAGTGCTCTTTATCACAGGAATCAGTGAGGGCTTAAAATATTTGCTCTAGGCAGTTTATACCAAGAATGGAAGTAAATGTTATTCCCGTGCGTTATACCTATGCTTTACCCTTAAGCTTATGAATATCCATCTTTATGCTTCCTGTCTCATTTAGAGGACAGTATACTTCTAAAAATAATACTTATAGTTTATGGTAAATTTTAGCCAGCCAGTTTTCAGTAAAAGGCAAATACATTTTACTTGAACCTACTTTAAGAAACACCTTTCTGTGAAGGAAAGGTCTTTCCTGACTGAAGAAAAGTACCTGAAGTCAAAGGTATCCAGTTGCTGGTCATTTTAATAGGAAGGTCCCCAGTACTAGGTGATCTTTATAGAATCATGTAATCTCATGAAGAGTCTTCCCACCTGAAAATAATAACGCCCCGCACCTATACAGTACAGAGTTTGGAAACAAATTGCAACTCACCTATGTATCATACGCCTGTAATAATTCACAGTCACCATCAAGTATTAGAATCATTAGGTTGAGTTGCATGCTTTTCACTCATGCTGGCCACACATCATGGAGAGTTTAAAAGATTTTACATGTTGTCGCGAATGCAATTGTGTTTTGAATAATGTGAAGTCAGTTTGCGTTGTGCACATATCATGTTAGTAACCGTACTTTCTAAAGGAGCAATCCAGAGCATTCCAGAATCCAGGAGTTCAAACCAAAGGAAGTCCTCTTCCCAAGCAAAATCTCTACAGAAATAAAGGAAGTAAGAGTTGTGCACTTCGGGGTTGGCTTGTTGAGTCAGCAAAAACATGTGGCTGTCTATGCTTCCAAGATTGGAAATCTTTTTCTTTATTGTACTCTCAATTGTGTTTTCTTTAATAAATCTCTTACAGAAGTCTCTACCTCAGGCACTAAGTGTCAGCTATGGTTAGGGTATTGATACTGAAAAACTTAGCTAGGACTTCCAACTTATTAAGATAACTTAAATGTAAACAACTGTTAACCAGCAATCTCTTATCATGTGGCATGCAGTTTGGATATTGTATGAACAGCTAAGGATTACCCATTCTAGTGCCAAAGATCACTTGTTGCTAATTTTGTTTTGTACAGTTGATGTAAAACTTTACGGTTGGGGACAGACTCTGTGCTCAGGGCCTTGTCTCTAGAAAGATTTCTTTCAGTCCCAAATGTTTTGTCAGTTCCAAATACAGTTTAGAAGATTCACTCGTGGTCTGTGCATCTTTTCCCAAACTTGAAAACTCAGCTGCCAGGAAATGCCATATTGGGGATATTGCCCCATTCTTTGTATACAGTAGTACTCGAGAGCTTAATGGTTTACACAGAAAACATGATACAGAAGTCGGTTCTACATCCACCTGTAAGCCGATCTCTGTGGGAATGCATGAGCAGGAAGCATTCCCAGTAGAGGTTTGAGCTCAGGAGATGCCTTTTTTCACAGCTGGTTAGCACTCCGCTGGGATGGCCGTGGCCGAAGGGGTCTGTGTATTTGTGGCATCACGATGAGGGTAGGTGGCCTTGTGTGCGAGGAGGACCAGGCACAGAAACACGCCCTGTCTCTGGCTCCCTTGGTTTCTCAGGGCCTTTTCTCCGAGAGGAGTGCCTTCTGGGGGGGATGCTCCCCGAAGACATAGACCAATCTCGGTAAACCCAGTGTACCTCCTGAGAAGAGAATGTGGGAGAGGTCGGATCTATTGCAATAACGTCCCCTGTTCCCCGGATACAGAACGGCTGGCTGGTGGTTTACGCACGGAGCTCACCCTCAGCAGAACAGACTGTAAACTGGTTAGCCGGCCGTGTTTGGTAATACGCACACCTCTGAGCTGCTTGGAAACTGTTGGAGCAGTTAGTCACTGCTGGTTTCGAAAGTGCATTTTTGGGTCAGATTTACCATCAGTACAGAGACTCATACCTGGAAAAGGTGTTGGCATCAAAGGTAAAATGTGTTTGCTACAGAGGATTTAAAACACTGTTTCTAAGTTTTCAGGGCTTATGTTAATACACAATACTTTTAGGGCTTGCCTCCTTTAGTTATCTCAGGTTGGAAGCGTGTTCCATAGGGGCATGAGGAATAGGGGCCTGGAGGCGGAGCTGAGCAGAGTCCAGGCCTGCACAGTGATCGCCCAGTGCTCCGTCCAGTGTGCTTTGCTCTTTTCCCCGCGAGTGCAGAGCAGCTGTCCGGGGCTTCCTCCCGGAGGGAGGAAGGTTCTCTGCTGGGTGGACCTTGCTGGGCTGCAGCGTTTTTTTCCGAATGTGACTGTTGGACCACCTGTGTAAGAAATAACAGGAATGCTGATTAAAATGTAAGTTCCTTGGACCCATCTCAGACCTACATAATCAAGATTAATAAGTTCTCTAGATGATTAAAAACCCTTTTTAGTGTATAGTTGAGTAACCATCCCTGGAAGATAGTAATTGCATTACCCAAAAATTATCTTGGTAATTCTTCCATTAAGGTTTGCGAATAAAGGGGCTAGGGCCCGACCAGTGTGGCTCAGTGCTTGAGTGTCCACCTATGAACCAGGAGGTCATGGGTCGGATTCCCAGTCAGGGCACATGCCCGGGTTATGGACTCGATCCTCAGTGTGGGTGTGCATGAGGCAGCCAATCAATGATTCTCTCTCATCATTGATGCTTCTATCTTTCTCTCCCTCTCCCTTCCTCTCTGAAATCAATAAAAATGTTTTTTTTTAAAGGGGGGAGAGGTATTAAGGGACGATGACATGGCAACAAGCGTTTGTCACCAGTTGGTTTTCTCTCCTGGCCCGCTCGGTCCTGAGGAAATGGTGCGTTTCCTTGCCCTGTCCTTGACGTGCTGTGCCTGCTTTAAACTAGACTCGGGCGGGGATGTGGAAGAGAACCTAAGGAAGCCCACTGGTGCCTCGAGGAAGAGCTGACCGGGTTCCCTCTTCACCCTCGGCTGAACCTCCCGCCTGTATCCTTGTCTGCTCTGCTCCCGGGGCCAGCGCAGAGGGCACGGCTGGCTGACAGCCTTACACTCCAGGCGGAGCAGAACCAAGCAACTGTTCATAACCGGTTTCCGTGCGTACATAACCAGTGACCTGAATGGGACCTGACCATGGGGAAATGGCACAGAACTGGATCGCTTTTTACATTTTATTTTTAGTTTCTGTAGTCCTGTGGAGGCGAAATTTTACCTTCACTCCGGGAACACTGGAAAAGACAAAGGGAGCTCCTTTGGCCTGGCTCTTTTTTTTTTTTTTTTTTAAACCCTTACTTGAGGACATTATTTTTTTTATTGATTTTTAGAGCAAGTGGAAGGGAGAGAGAAAGAGATTGATGTGAGACACATCAATTAGTTGCCTCCATGAGCCTGGACCAGGGCGGGGATTGAACCTATAACCCAGGGACATGCCCTTGACCAGGAATCAAACCTGAGGACCTTTGGTGGGCAGGCTGATATCTCACCACAGAAACACCAGCCAGGGCGTGGCCCTTTTTCCTTTGAAAGCATGTTGCAGCTGTGGCTTCTGCCCAGCAGGCAGAGGCATGCCAGTGGTTCTCAACTTGCTGGCCCTTTAAATACAGTTCCTCGTGTTGTGACCCAACCAGAAAATTATTTTCGTTGCTACTTCATAACTGTCATGTTGCTACTGTTATGAATCGTCATGTAAATATCTGATATGCAGGATGGTCTTAGGCGACCCCTGTGAAAGGGTCGTTTGACCGTCAAAGGGGTCGCGACCCACAGGTTGAGAACCGCTGTGGACCCTGTACCCCGGTGCTTCTAAGAGCAGTGACCGGCCTCCTTAAGGCAACTTCAATGGCAAAGCCCTGGGAACACGGTAAGTGCAAATTGTCGACGGATTGCTTGCTTCACGTTCATAGAGGGACATGGTCATGGATGAGGCTCTGCCGCGTTGGAACCAGTCGTGATTATAGACCTGCCTGTGATGTGGCTGTTCAGTTCCAGTGGTTTGCTCCTGGGGGCTTGTTGACGAGACAGTGTGGGGTGTGTGGCCATTCAAGCCAGCTCTTTGGAGTAGTGGGCTAAGATTCTGGGAAATTGCTAGGAGGACACTTAACAGATACTACTCAATATTTAACTGAACCAACCCCTGAGCACATCAGTAGGCACAACTGCGGGGTGAAAAGACAAGGGTGGTTTCTGCTGGTGGTGGTGGTGGTGGTGGTGGTGGTGGTGTTTCTGTGCGGTAAGTGGCGATGTGGAATGCCATAGCACAGGGAGGCGCTGCTGGAGAAGGTTGCGAATAGGTCAGCATAGGTTGGCCTGAAATAGGTGTCCTGGGCAGGAGCCCATTACCCTTGACTTGGGGTCGCCAGATAAGATACAGGCTGCCTGGTTACATTTGAATCTCAGATCAACAGTGAATAATTTTTATGTATTATGTGGAACATACTAATATATTTTTTTTAATTGTTTATCCAAAATTCACATTTAACTGAGTGTCCTGTATTTTTATTTGCTAAAACTGGCAACCCTGGCCTGGACCGTGTGGCTCAGTTGGTTGAGCGTCGTCCCAGGCACCAAGAGGTCGCAGGTTTGATTCCTGGTCAGGGCACATGCCTGTGTTTCGGGCTCGATCCCTGGTGGGGGGTGTGCTGGAGGCAGCTGACCAATGTTTCTTTCTCATCATTGATGTTTTCCTCTCTTTCACTCTGGGTAAATGTTGTCTTTTTAAGGGAAGGTTTTTGTTCTCTTTTTTAAAATTTTTTATTTAATGATTTTAAAGGGAGATAAAGAGAAACATTGACCTGTTCCTACCTATTCATGTGCCCATCAGTTGACGCCTGCAAGTGCCCTGACCAGGGATTGAACCCACAACGTTGACATGTTGGGATGATGCTCCAATTGGCCAGGGCTGTATTTTTTTTAATCACAATTAAAAAACAATAAACTTAGTAAAATAAAATGAAAGAATTTTGATCAATACTAAAGGATATAAAAAAGTGAAAGTCCTCCTCATATTCCTTTCTATTCCCACTCCTCAGAGGTAATCACTGTTTAACATTTCTTTCCAGAAGCATTTATGCACATACAAGCATATATATGTGTCTGTTCTTTGCTTAGCAAATATTTATTCAACAATTAAATTACCTTTAGTAATAGCAGGCTACCAGCCCCCAAATCCAAAATTAGAGGCACCAAAAGTAGAGAACTTACTTAAATTTAACTTTCTTTAGCGGGAACACAGAAATTGGACAGGAACGTCTACTGCTAGTATTCATGAAATAACTGTCCATAAACAGAGCTTACGCACCATAACACAGACTACGTAAAATGAAATGTAAGCGCTCTACAGCTTTTTCTAAGTTCTTAAAATTACGGGGAATAATTTACAGACAATGTGCTCTTTTTCAGGGTGTCATTCAATGACTTCGGCGTCTTTTTTAAACATAATTATCATTGCCTGCTTTTCTTGTTATTCTATTTTAATGACTTTATTTCTGGTTATGAAGGTATTATTACATGCTCCTTATAAAAGAAAACAACTTGGATAATTCAGAAAATAAAGAGAAAGCAAAATACATCAGTAATTGCCCACTCCCTAGAAAGCCATTATTACCATTGTCTCTTTTTAAAAGCACACATGCATTTATTCATCTAGAAACACAAAAGTATGTAGAAAATAAAAATGGCCCACAATTTCCATGCTCATCTAGACAATCCTTGTTGGATTTTAAAAATAGCCCTGGGCCCTGACCGCTTTGGCTCAGTGGATAGAGCGTCGGCCTGCGGACTCAAGGGTCCCAGGTTCGATTCCGGTCGAGGGCATTTACCTTGGTTGCAGGCACATACCCTGTGGGGAGTGTGCAGGAGGCAGCTGATTGATATTTCTCATCAATGTTTCTAACTATCCCTCTCCCGCTCTGTAAAAAATCAATAAAATCGATTTTAAAGATAAAAATAGCCCTGGCCCATGTGGCTCAGTTGGTTGAGCATCGTCCCTATGCACCGTTAGATTCCCCTGGCTGGGGCACATGCCTGGATTGGGCTCAGTCCCTGGTAGGGGGCATGCAGGAGGCAGCTGATTGATGTTTCTCTTGCAAAGAGAGTGGAAGGGAGAGAGGGAGGGAAGGAAAGAGAGAAATGCGTCAACACATTGGTTGCTTCCTGCATGTGCCCTGACCGGGACTGGGGATCGAACCTGCAACCCAGGTATGTGCCCTTGACTAGGAATCAAACCTGAGACCCTTTGGTTTATGTGCAGGGTGGGGGGTAT